AGGGATCCCACGTCCACTTCTTTTGCAAAAACTAACTGGTGACCTTCCACGAAGCGTCCTTTACAAGTATGCTCTAACTAGGGACCACAATGGAAGATTCCAGCAGGCAAGGGGCTGCTGGTAGAAGGGGTGGGGTTATGCTAGGGTCTGCACAGCACACCACTCCCTCCTTACCCTTTCAGGAGGTGGAGGCAAAGAAGTTCTCTTGACTTATGCGTGTTGGGACCTCAAAAGCCCTGGAATCAGACACCCAGGCTCTAGTCCCAGCCTCACCACTTCCTGCTGTGTGACCTTAGGCAAGTCACTGTTTTCCTCAGAGCCTCAGCTCCCTCGTCTGTGAAATGGGGTAAATTCGTATCTATTTCACAGGGCTGTTTTGAGGGCAAAATAAAGGAGAGAGTGTGGGAACTTTGTAAACAGACAGAGTTGAACAAATGTAGAGTGGTGGTGGCATTAATAATTATCCTTCACACATGGGCGGGGAACTCCTCAGGGGATGTGCTGAAAGAGCCAACACTGCCCTGGGGGCACAGACAGGTCCCTCAGCTGCCTCTCTGAAAGGCCTGGGGCAGCTCTGCCTGTGCCTTACACCTGAACAGGAATGAGGTGAGCCATTGGCATTCTCCGCCTTCTGGAAGCCCATCCTTGTTCTAGCTCGGCATAGGATCCAGGGTGAGCTGGAAGTACCTTTCTTTTTGGCCGATGCAATAAAGGGACAGAAGGTAGGCAAAATAGGTCAATGGGCAATTTATGGGATAATTAAAACCTTGAAGGGCGGGAGAGGGTGATGAGAGGATGTCTACTACTGCAAGCACATCGGGGCACGTGCTCAGCAAGAGGCCACTCCTGAGGAAGCTGGTGGGCATGGGGATCAGAACGAAGACCCTTGGTGGGTTTGGTCAGGTTTGGGAAATTGCCACTAAGGCCAGTTCCTGAGCACAACGTTGGCACATGGTTGGGTCTAATGTCCCCTCCTCCTTGGAACACCCCTTTCTCATCTTGTTCACCCCTAGCTTCTGTGCTGTGCTTGGTACATCGTAGGATCTCAATACTTAGTTGCTGGATGAAATGGGAGTGGGTTCAGTCATCTAACCGCTCGCCACTCAAATGCGGTCCAGGAACCAGTCACATGTGTCACCTGTGAAACTGTCAGAAGTGTGAAATCTCAGGAATTCCTCCCCCACCCCCCACACACCTATTGAATCAGAATCTGCATTTGTAACCTTCTCCAGGTGGTTTCTAATATCTGAGAAGCACTGCTCTAGCTGACCCTCTTCTTGGGCTGTAGCCAGGTATTTCACGGGCTAGATGGCCAAATGGGGCTGTGTGTGGGTCAATCAATCCCACAACATTTGGCAATTATGACAACTGATTCCAGCCTAAGAGAGACAAATTGGTAGAGTCATAGAGATGTGACCTCAGCAATAGCGGCAGGAGCTGCCAAGTATAAACTCCAGGCCAAATGACACCACTTCTTTTCCTTCCTCTGTGACAACTCTGTTAACATTTTTGATAAATATGTGTTATACATTTTCTTGAAAATATAGAGTCATGGGAAAAAAATGTTAGCAGAAATCCATCAAAATATTATGGTTATCTCTGAATGTCTGAGAGGGAGGATTATGGGCGATAGTTATTTTCTCCTGTGTACTTTTCTAGATTTTTCAAGTATTTTACAACCAACATGTTTTATTTTACAATAAAGAAACTTTTAAAAAACTGTTTTTGCCTGGCAGGGAAAGTATCCCCACAGAACAGATAAGATTATTGAGTACATGGAGGGGAACTGAGCTGTCTGTAATACCCAGTTAATCAATGACCCATCAAGGGGATGAAGTGGGGACACCTCACCCTTTTCTGGGGAGCCACGTTACATGGAGACCATAGCGCAACATACAGGGAATCCTGAAGACACCCTTTGATAGGTTATAGCATCCTGGGATGTCTTATTTAGATTGGCAATGTTTAACTGGAAAAAGGGAAGGAGACTGGCGGATGGGTTTGGAGGACAGAGGGTGAATGGACACATTCATGACTGGATGGAGAAGGGCCAGGGCAACGCCACCACCTCCATTTCAGGTCCCCTCCTTATCCCGGACAGAAATATTGCTCATGGTTGAGACTGATCATCTGAATAAAGCTCTAGTGTGTAGGGGGAATTCCTTCTGGGGAAAATGTGGAAAGTTGAGGCTGAGAGTTGATGGGATACAACCCACTTTTCCTTTCGAATTCCAACCATGGCAGGGCTTGGTTGGACCAGTGACTCTTGTGACCCTTGTGGGGGTCCCTTAGAAGACTTGGACATCCCCAACAGGGCTTGGGGTGACTACCTGTTCATAGAAAACATTCTAATAGGTTCTGGATGACCTCAGAAGGACCAGGTGAGGTCCAGAGCATTGTCCTAAATGCCATCACAGACATCAACACATCAGTGGGCGTCATGCTTCAATTCATATTCCAGATGAAGAAATTGAGGCCCAGAGATGGGGATGAGTGATCTGAACCTCTCCCTCTGGCTCCTCTCACAGGAAGGTGGTGGCAGAGCCCTGCACCTTCCCTGACTTTTCCTGGCTGCTTTTTCCTGGGTGGACATGTAGCTAGGGTTGTGCTTGGCACAACTGATGGCTGGAAACTCATAGACCAAATGAGTCTGGCTTGTAGTGGTTCAGAGCGTGGGCTTTGGAGTCAGACTGAGTCTGAGTCACTGCTCAGCTACTGGCTAACAGTCTGAGCATGGACTTCAGGTTCCTCATCTCTAAGATGGGTATAATAGCATCATATAGGATTCAATAAATTAGTACATGAAAAATGTTTGGAGAAGCTCCTGGCACATACTAAATACTCAATAAATGTTAGCTGTTGTTGTTGTTGTTGTTATCTTTGTGGGGATAGTGTCCGGAATCAACATCAGTCAATGTGATAGAGAAAAACACTTAAAATCCCAGAGAGAATGAGGAACACAAATAAGGAAAAGGGTATTTGCTCAGAGTACTGCTAAGATCAGAGTGGCGAAAAGATCAGAATAACCTTCCTTCTGAATTGAACTTCTCTTCCTAGCAACCGCTTTCTATAGCAAAGAACTCAGCGTGGGTATTCTCTGGTGTGGAGCTGTCATTCTGACAGCTGGTCAGAGCAGCTTTTCAAAGTGTGGTTGAAAAGGCCACAGGGCCCCAGGCGCCTGCCCTCCGGACTGGAGCCAGGTTTCCCTCAAGCTTGGAGTTGGCCCTGGAAACCCCTCAATGGCAAGCCCCAGGATGGTAGGAAAGTGCCCCGAGCCCACAGTAATGGGCTGGATCCTACAGGCTCAATGCTCTAATCATGGCTCTGTTCCTGATGTGCTGTGTGACCCTGAACAAATCAATTAGCTTCTCTGTGCTTTCATTTTCCCAATTGTAAATCAGAGCATGCCCTGCCTGACCTGTGTCCCTGCTGGGAAGTGGGTACCAAAAAACTTTAAAAAGGCAAAAGCAAAATCACACAGCTCAGAAGCACTGCTGGAAATACTGCAGAGACAAATAACGAGGAAGAAACACATAGGCCTCTGCCCGGGGCAGCGTGGGTAGGCTGCTTCATTCTGGTGCCCTGGTACAGTGAGGGCTTTGTGAGAAAGGCCGGAGCCCAGCAGTGTGGGACAAATAAAGCACTCACCTGCAACTCTTCACTGAGTTTTATCTAAACAACCGCAATTCCACCATTATTGGAAAACTTCACCGGAAAGTTTTATAAAAAAAGGGAGCTTTTCAAACTGAAAAATGGATTTTTTTTATTGCTTCATTTAAAAGGGAATAAATAAAACCACTTTTCTCCCCAAGGGGAAACCTGTCCTCCAGTTGACCTGGGAAACACTGTGAGCTTTTTAAAGCTGCTTTGCAGGCCATGGTGTCTTGGGGCTCCTGCACCTGAGGGCAGTGGCATTTGCTCCTGCGTCTGGGCCCCACAGCATCCCAGGCACACACGGCCCATCCTCCCCAGCCGGGTTCTGCTGTTTCTCTCCCTGCCCCTCGATGGATTTTCAGCACCTCGAGGGCAGGTGCTGTGCTAGTCACCTCTGCTCCAGGATCTAGCATATTTTCTAGCTCACTATTACGTGTTTCTGGTTTCCCTGACAAAATGTAAAAGCCTCTTGAGTGTTTACTCCGAGCCAGGCAGTTACTGAGAGCGCTGTTCAAGTGGAGCGGGTGCTGGGCTGGGAGTCTAACTGCCGCTAACGGCCAGGGAGGCCTCAGCAACCTGTTTTCCTCCATGGAGCCCAAGTGTCTCAACTCATCGATTCGCTGTAATTAACAGAGCCAGTGAGCACCTATGCTATGCCAGGAACCACTTGAGATATTGGTACAGGGAAGAGTACCAGGCCCGATATGCCCACAGGGAGGGAGAGAGACATGGAAACCACCTCTGCAAAACGTCATAGATGTGCCCCACTAGGATTGCTAAAATAGAAAGACAGATAATAAGAAATGTTGATGAGGATGTGGAGAGATTAGAAGCCTTATACATTACGGGTGGGGATATAAGGGAACTACCAAGCTGTTTTCTAGTCACTCTGGAAAACAGCTTGGCAGTTCCTCAAAATGTTAAATATAGAGTTACCATATGACCCAGGAATTCCACTCCTAGGTATATACCCAAGAGAAATGAAAACATCTGTCCACACAAAACTTGTAAATGAATGTTCACAGCAGCGTAATTCGTAATAGTAAAAAAGTAGAAACAACCTAAATGCCCATCAACAGATGAATGGATAAACAAAACGTAGTACAGCCCTACAATGGAATATTATTTGGCAACAAAAAGACATGAAGGACAAGCTACAACATGATGGCCCTTGAAAACATTCTGCTACGTGAAAGAAGTTAATCACAAAAGACCACGCATTGTACAATTCCATTTATTTGAAATGCCCCGAACAGGCAAATCCATAGAAACAGAAAGTGGATTGGTGGTTGCTAGGGCTAGAGGCAGGGGGGGATGGGGAGGGGCGTTGGAGAAAAAGAGGAAAAGCTTGCTAGGGGTTTCTTCGTAGAGTGATAAAAATGTTCTAAAACTAGACTATGGTGATGGTTGCACAACCCTGTGACTGTATTAAAAAACACTGAATTGTACACTTTAAATGGTTGAATTGTATAGTATATAAACTCGATCTCAAAAAAAGCTGTTAACAAGGATGGATGTTCTGGTGGATGATGGAGACACTGAGCTGGGGGAGGGGACCCGAGGAGGAAGAACCAGCTGTACTTGTAGGGGATGCTAAGAGAAGGCTTCCCAGAGAATCGACTCTTGACGTGAGTCTTGAAGGAGCAGATGTGACTGGAGAAGGGAAAGACCAAGGGATGCCGGATGAGCCAAGTCACAGAGGCGTGAGGGAGCCGAGCTGTGGTTTGTTATGGCTGGAGCTGGGGTACATGGGAGATCGGGAGGAAGGGAGAGGCAGGTGGGTGAGGAAAGAGAGGCTTGAAAAGTGAGGGAATCTGGGCCTGGAGGGCTTCTAATGCCACATTACAGGGTTAGGCTTTAGCCTGAACAATGTCTCTGGACAAGAGGAGGCTGAGAGCATAACTTGCAACACCTTGTTCGGTTCTTAACTTACGTGTTGTTTCTGGACCACAAGTCTTAGCTCTGTCTCTTGAAGACTGTAGCTTTTGAAAGTTGCCACTGAGAGGAGACACAAGTGGCAGTGGATGTAGGGAAGGTTGTCCAAGTCCAAGTGCCTGGGTGACGGGAGCAGGAGGGGGATATGGGCATGGGGTGGGGTGAGGTGGGTGGGGGCAGCCCCCATCTACTCACTGCACAGCTGGCCCTCATCTTCTCCCTGGGCGCAGTCCCGGTGGAAGTCACAGGCCTGCCCGAGCTGGAGGACTGTCCCATTCCAGCAGGTGAAGGAACTCTGCAAGGCCATCTTGGATCCCGGGGAAGTTCCTGGAGAGCACACAGAGACACATGCCCCGGGTCAGTTTGGGTGACCCCATCGGAAGGCTTCAGGGAGAGCATCGCTCCGTCCTGCCGTCCACATCCCAAGGCCTAACTGAGACACCAGCATCTCCATCTGGCCACACCCAGGGCCAACACCAGGAGGCTGAGAGGAAGTCAAAACCCTAACTCCCCCAACCCCCGCCCCCAGCCCACTGCGGGGGTGCAGGGGGCATCTCATCTTCTAGCGATGGTGAGTAGTGGAGTTGCCGAGGTTTGGTCCATGTTTTCCCCAACACTCTGCGGGAACTCCATGGCTTTCGTGTGCCAGGTAGACAGACTGCGGGTGGGGTCTCATCTGCACACAGGCAGGCCTACCCTCAAGGTCAAATCTGGAGTAGCAAGGGGAATATCTGGTCCAGTGTATCTCTCCCATGTTCTTGATCCCAGAGCCTACTGGAGTGATGCTCGAAGCATGCAGCACTTTATGTTGTGGAACAGGAGGAGCACCACTGTGAGAGCCCAGCCTGCACCGCCCTCCATGACCGGCTGTGTGATGCTGACTCACCAGCTGCGTGTTCCTCCCTCACTGGCCTCCTGTCTCTCCAACCACAAAAGGAGAATTTTAATGATGTTTCTAAGGTCTGTTCCAGTTCTGAAATTCTAGGCCAGGGGTGGGCAAACTGCGGCCCGCGAGCCACCTGCGGCTCTTTGGGTACGTTCCATCTCAAAGGCTTGCCGACCCCTGGAAGAGCCAATGCCGTCCCTCACAACAATTTAAAAATTATTTGAGAGCCATAAATATATTTTTACATAATCACCATTATGTGAATAATATCCTTTAAAATTTTTATAAGTGAAACTATGATAGTTTTATTTTCATTTTCAATTTTACTTCACAGCCTGCGGCTCACGAGCCGCAGTTTGCTGGCTCCTGGCGGCTCTTCCATCTCCAAAGTTTGCCGACCCCTGTTCTATTGTACATAAATCAAATTATCCAGTGGAGGAAGGGAGAGGGCGGCAGCTTATAATGAACCTGTTAGCATCAACAACAATGCATTATGATAATTGATTAACCTGCGATCCCAGAGAGCCGGGTTTTAGGGAAGAGAAGGCTGGCCTGGCCTCGCCTGTCATCTTGAACGGGCACTTTGCCTGGGGACCGCCGAGCGAGGACCTGGCTCGTGCTTCTGATGCCACCTCCTGTCATGCAGCTCTTGGTTGGTGGGGGATGGGGGAGCTTCTAGCCCCTGTGGAAACGAGCAGGCAGGGCCCCACCCCATGTCCGGCTGCTTTGCACCGTCTCCCCTTTCTAGCTCCATCCCCATGGCAGCTGGTGCCTCAACAGTCTTCCCACCCCCATGCCACCCGCCTGGCTGGTAGAGCAGATGAACCAGAACTCCCACTAGGTCAAGTTCCACAGCTTCTCTGAGCCGCATATCAGGGGCGGGCTCCTCCAGCCTTGGCTGTGAAATTAGACTCACATTGATTCAATTTGATTTTAATAAAACCTCCCAGATGATTTTGATGTGGGACTCTCCAAGTTGGATGATTTTTAATACCTAAAATTCCATGATTTTCTGGTTTGTTGAACTATTCCCAATAGCACGGGAACTATCATCAAGTTCAGCCTGTTTACTTCTAGAACCCTCTGTGAACTTCAGCTCTCTGGCTCTGTAAAGCTGGGCAAGTCTTAGCAGTGCCCATTCCCTACGTGGGAGACTGAGTCAGAGAGGTTAAATGACTTGCCTAAGGTCTCACGGCTGGTCAGTGGGATTCAGACCCAGTCTGTCTAGACCTTAAAGCTGCTCTCGTCATCTACTGGAAGGGGAATGCTAAAGGTGGCCTGGCGCCGTCCTTTCCAGGCTAGTCCAGATAAGGCTCAATGTGTCAGCTGATGGACGATGGCTTCCTGGCATTGTGAGACGGGCTTCCAGCCTGGCTGAACATTCTCGATAACTCCTGGATATGGGAAACACAGGCCCTGCTTTCTTCAGGGAATCAGATTCAAGTTCTTTACCCTGCTCTTCAACGTCCTTTGTGATCTGGGCCCAAATTTCCTTTCCTGTTTCACCTGTCTGTCTCTCGCCATGAACACTGCACTCTAGACTCATCTGGTGTTGGTTCCATGCAGCCTGGCTCTAGAAGCAGCTCTAGTTCCCATCTTCATCACCAAAGTGTTTGAGCCTCTGTTCCCCTCAGCCCCAGCCGCTCCCTGCACCCTATGGGCGTCCACAAGAAGACTGCATAGTAGGTTACCTATCTGTGGCTGGCTGAAGAATGGACCCACACGAAGACCCACATCCTAATCCCTTAAACCTGCGAATATGTTCCTTTTTTCGGGATTTTAATATTGTGATTAAGTTAAGGGCCTGTAGATGGGGAGGTTACGCTGGACTATCCAAGTATAACCATACGGTTCTTATAAAGAGGCTGGTAAGAAAGTCAAAGTAAGAAGTAGGAAATGTGAGGATGGCAGCAAGACTTTGGAGTAATGTGACAAAGGAGTAACGTGAGGAAGATGCCAAGGAACGCAGGAGGCCTCTAGAAGTTGGAAAAGACAAGGAAACAAATTCTCCCTTGGGGCTTTCAGAAGGAGCCAGCCCTGCTGACAACATGACTTTGGCCTGAAACTGATTTTGGACTTCTGCCCTTCAGAGCGCTAAGAGAACAAATTTGTGTTGTGTTAAGCCACCAGATTTGTGGTAGCTTGTTCCAGCAGCAACAGGAAACTAATACAACATCTAAACCTGACTCCAGCTGCAATGGCAGACTAAGTCAGCTGAGGTCTCGGTCATCTGAAGCTCAGCATAGCTTTATTGGGTTGTTGGAAAAGTCATGATGTATTTTGTCTATGTTTCTCAAAGGTCATTTGTTTATATAAAGAACAAAGATCAATCAATGATATAATGCCCGTTTCATTCGATAACCTTTTGCCATCTTTTAGTGAGCTTCATAATTCCTCGTTCATAGAAGGACCTGTCTTTATTGGCGAAAAACTGAACAAGGTGCTGATTTACAGCCTCATCTGAATTGAATGTTATACCACACAAGGAGTTTTGAAGAGAGTGAAACAAGTGGAAGTCTGATGGTGCAAGGTCAGGCGAGTGTGGTGGGTGTGGCAACACATCCCATCCAAGCTCCAATAATTTTTGACAGGTGATCAAGCTTGTGTGTGGTCTCGCGTTGTTGCGATGGAACACAACTCCTTTACAATTAACAAGCTCTGGACGCTTCTGGATGATGGATTCGTTCAAACTGTCCAATTGCCGACAGTACACATTCGAATTGATTGTTTGGTTCCTTGGCAGGAGTTCGAAAAACATGACACCTTTAAAATCCCACCACACTGAGAGCATAACCTTCCTCTGATGAATGTCTGCTTTCGATGTCATTTGAGGCGAATCATCACGTCGGGACCAAGACCGTTTGTGCACCACATTGTTGTAAACAATCCACTTCTCATCACCAGTTATCAGTCGCTTCAAAAAAGGATTGTTTTCCTCATGTTTAATGAGCGTATTGCAGATGTTTATACATGCTGTCAAATGAACTTCTTTGAGTTCATGTGGAACCCAAATAACAAGCTTGCTTACGTATCCCAGCTTCTTCAGATGGCCATGAACGCTTGAATGATGGATGTTCAATGTTTCTGCAATCTCTCGTGTTGTAACGTGGGTTTGACTCAATCAATGCCTTTATTTTGTCGTCATCAACCTCGGTGGGCCTCCTGACCAAGGAGCGTCGTTGAGATCAAAATCACCAGCATGGAATTTCATGCACCGTCATTGGCACTGATGTTCTTGTAGAGCATTGTCACCGTAAATTTTCTGCAACTTTTTACAAGCTTTATGTGCGTTCTTCCTTTTATGGAAGTAAAACAGTAAAATATGGCAAAAATGCACTGTTTGGTCTTCCATCTTCAACTTGTTATAAAATCTCCAAAACTCAACCAAATCGCTTAATCTTTTTTTAGAATGAAGCTGGAACTGTCAGCTGTCAAATGACATAGCAATAACATAGATGCGAATGACTCTAGTACTTCCAAAAATAAACTAGTGCCATCTATTGCAAACATGCGTCATGACTTTTCCGACAGCCCAATAGTTTCCAAAGCACTTTTACTTATGCCTCATGTGGGATCATGAATTACAGTCAGGACCTTACTACCTTCGCTCCCAGCCCTACTGAAGAAAACATAAACAAATGAAAAACCTGTGAAATCTTCCTCAACCTATGGAACACATGTAAGCCGTGTTGTGTTTTATTCACACCTCATGATTAGGCCTTCTTTCTTTTAATGTTTTCATGAACATGTTTCCACATGTTGCCACACACCAATGATTTGTCCTTCCCTGAATGTCTTACAGTTCTTTTACTTTCCTTCTAAAAATGGATGCCTACTGTCTAAAGTTGGAAACCAGGGTAAAAATAAACAAAAGCAATGCCTGGAATCCCATTATCCAGAGGCCATCATTTTTAACATCTTGGAAGATTTCTCTTTCATTTTTTTGGCCTATGTTTGAAACCTATATGATTTGACTAACCAATGTCACCGCAATAAATTTAATAAAGATTAAAATAAATAACAGTGTGCATAGTTGTGTTATAGCTACATATACCTTAAAATAATTAAGGTTATAGCACAAGCTTTTCCAAAGGTTTAAAAATTTTCCAGAAGAATACTTCTGAATGGCTACAAGGCTTTGGAATACATACCACTATTTATTTAAATGTTATTCAATGATTGGATTGTTAGATTGTTTATAATAACACTTCAAAGACTATCTTTGAGCATAAACCTTTGCTTGCATTTCCGATTATTTTCATAGGATACATTCCCAGAAGTGGACTTACCGAATCATAGAGTATAAACATTTAAAGGCCCTTGATATATATTGCTAAATTGCTTTCTGGAAGGTAATCCAATTTGCACTCTCACCAGCTGTGTTCATACATTCATTGCTCTCTTACTACATCCTGGCCAACACTGAATATTACCACAATTT